GAGGGGGCTGACCAATCAGAAGGGAGACAGATATGCTGCTCCCTACAGAGTCGCATGATTTGGCTGATCGCGATCCGCCGACGTTTCGCGCGAGAATTACAAATGACTTGTGCAACTAAGTATGAACGATATACGACTACATGAACATGAAGTAACTATACTATTTACAAGGCGATACGCCGAACATAGACTATATATAACGTTTACATCAAATTAAGAAGTAGTCTGCTATGTAAGGCAGTTGGCTCACGATGCAGAAGTCCCGAGTTCGAATCCCATCAAGGTAAGTGTGTTTTTCAAATACGAGAAAATATTTATAATCATAGACTGCATCTTTTAAGAAACAAATTTAGTTAAAAAATAGTAAGCAAATTTCAAAATAAATTATTTTTTTTATGTCGGGTGAATAATTATTCAGTGAAACATGTCACTACTCTTTTCAGAGTTGAAGAATCACTCCAAGTAAAGAATGAATAACTCACTTATTCGAAAAGTGAAATTTTACTCCAATTAGACTGGCAGTATTTTCATTATTCTTAGGAGTGAAATCTTAAATATATATAAAAGTAGCAGTGCCCATATAATAAGCGACAACACGAAATCGATCCTATAATTAGCTACTATTTACACTATGATACACGGCGGTGCGCCAAACAGATATAGTTAAAGTCTGTCCGGAGGGAAGTATATTTAGATTATTTGCAGATGACACGACCGCAAGTGTAACAGGAGAAAGTTGTGAGGAAATAGAAATAAAACTAAATATGGTGCTCGGTATACTTGAAGAATGGATGAATGTGAATATGTTAAAAATGAATGCAGATAAGACCAAATATATGATAGTTAGAAGTATAAGGAAAGAAATAAAAACAGACATAATAGTAAAAAGTTTGAATGGAACTATAATTGAGCGTGTCGAGATAACGAAACATCTGGGTGTAATGATCGATAGTAAACTCCGTTGGGAGAATCACTGTGATTATATGTTAAAGAAAATAGGGAAAAAAGTGAGTTTTCTGAACAGAATAGGAAATGATATATCGGCGTACACTCGATGTACTGTGTATAAGTCTATCATAGCACCTCACTTTGAGTATTGTGCAACGTTATTAATTGGTATGGGTGACACATTACTGAATAGGCTACAAGTTGCGCAAAATCGAGCTATGAGGGTTATACTTCAATGTGATCGACGTACCAAGGTAGACCTGATGCTGCAAGCACTCCAGTTTATGAATATAAAACAGAGATTATTATATAATGTATGTATTTTTATTTTTAAAATAATAAGAGGAATAATGCCTAGACAATTAGGTAACAAAATAGAAATAGTAGGTGATGTGAGTAACAGACAAACAAGACAGGCTGAGAATATTGTGGTGCGGTTTCGTAGAACGAGGGGCGGACAAAAGAGTCTATTCTATGAAGGTCTAAATATGTATAACGCCCTACCATTTGATATAAGGCAATGCGAGAGGATCGAACAATTTAAGCCGAAGTTAAAAGTATATATTATACCTCATGTAGAGGAATTATTGTAAGATTATGTGTTGTAAAAAATAGCCGAGAAGGCTAATAAAGATCAATTCATTCATTCTCTCTCTCTCTGTCTCTCTCTCTCTCTCTAGCAGCGCCAAGTTTTTTGACAAGAAAAATTTATGTATTTTAATAAAATATTTTAATTTTGTACTGTTACCTCTGTAATTCTTTGCGATGCGATTAAATCTTTTAAAATATATAAACTTTGTATTTAAATACCTTGTATTCCTTTGTTGGGTTTAAATATTTTAATAAAATATTTGTATTTTGTATTGTTACCTCTATAATTTTTCACCTCGAAAAAACCTAAGTAACAAGTGGTAGACCGTAATCTTTGTATCTCGAAAAATACACTGAGAAAAAAAATTGTTAATCCCAAGAAATATTTAGTTCGATATGTTCAAACATTTTAGTTAGTTAACTAAATATTAGTTGTTTCAACAATTTATTTCGTATTTTTAATCAGGAATTAATTAATTCAACTAATGTTTAGTTAGCTAACTAAAATGTTTAGTTGAACGTATCGGACTAAATATTTCTTGGGATTGACAAATTTTTTATCTCAGTGTATGTTCTCTCTGTAGTTGGCGCTGTAATTTAAAAAGAGATATTATTTCTTTTTTGTAATTGTAATAGATCACTTGAAACACGACTCATTTTTGATAAGGTAACGTAATTTTGTGATGTGTATCACTTGAGTTATAATTTTTTGGAAATAAAAATACTACTGCTTAGGTTTTTTCGAGATTTTTTGAGATACAAAGATTACGTTTACCACTTGTTACTTAGGTTTTTTCGAGGTATGATAATACTACCACTTTGTTTTTTTTTTCGAGGTAAAGATACTACTGCTTAGGTTTTTTCGAGATTTTTCGAGATACAAAGATTACGTCTACCACTTGTTACTTAGATTTTTTTTAAGGTAGAATACTACCACTGTTTTTTTTTCGAGGTAACAACATATACACTACTATGCGTGTACTTGGCGCCTTTCTTTACCTTTTTTTTAAAAAAAGGTAATTTTGTACGGATATGATATATGCGAAATCCGCCGCACGGGACAGAAATGTCATGTTATTCTTTTCAACCGGTTATGTTGCATATTGCGGACACTGGATAAATATATCGTGTCATAAGCAAATTGACAGTGAATCACAGAGGAGGGTCCTACTGATTCTAACTCTTAACAAGTATGTCGTTAAGAATTACAGAATAGGGATACAGACCTCTTCAAGAAATAGTATAAATTTTATTATAACAAAATATCGTAATTGTAATTGTGTTAGTTATATCACAATTCAAAACAATTAAATTAAATTTGTTTTTCCTCCCTCTTGAAAATTTTGAATTCTTAAGTTGTGACAGTATTCTTCTATGGATACAATATATAACTTTCCACGCACTTGTAATATAAAATAGTTTGTGTAACACGTGTATTAAGTTGAAAATTGGACGTGCGGGTGATCGCACTCGCCTCCGGGTCGTGCGTCCACTCCGCACGTCCAATTTCCAACTTACAGCACTTGTTACACAAATAACTATTATATCACACGTGCGTGGAAAGTGGCCCAAATCTCTCGCGCGTGCGGAATCGGCCATCCATCGCACAGATGACGCGCGCGCAATAGGCCACTTTCCACACACTTTGTAATATAAAATAGGGTGTGTAACACGTGCGGGTTGAGAATTGGACACTCGTGCGGGTGATCGCACTCGCCTTCGGCTCGCACTCGTGTCCAATTCTCAACTTCCCGCACTTGTTACACAAATAACTATTTTTACTACAATTTAAAATTTTTTTTACCACATTCTTTTTATTAATTTCTTGAAAAAAACTTTGACAAAAGTATATGTAATATCTTACTTTAACGTAGATGAATCTCTGCAGGGCTAATTTATTCTACAGAATGCAAGTCAGATTACAGAAATACACTAATTCATGTAACATACTTTAACTCCGCATTTCCTCGCCACGGCAATGGTCAAGAGATGATTTTCTTCGTAGATATCTCCATTTATGGCCTCAATTTGCTAACAATCCAGGGGACAAAGTCTGTCACTTTCGTGTATATACCAGGCCATCCTTGCATGCCACAAGGCGATGGTCCAAATGATACAACGCCCACAGCGGTCCATCTGCCAGTACCATCGGCGATCCTCTCGACGGCCATCAGAGGTCCACCTGAGTCACCCCGGCACGAGTCTTTGCCTCTCTGGCCACCCGCACAGATTTGCCCATAGCCGAGTTGGACACCGGCGTTAGTGTAGGTCTGTTCGCACTGATCCTTATCCGCCAAGGGCAGCGCCAGCTTTAGTTTAATGTTTGAGGCAGAGCGGGTCTCTGTCTTGCCCCAGCCAGCCACATAGAGCTTGCCACCGAGCGACGAGCTGGACGGCAGGCAAATGGGCTTGATGAAGGTGGTGAATGTTACGTCGCGGCTGAGACGCAGCAGTGCAATGTCGTAGCGTTGATCCCGCGACAGTGGCCGATATTCTTCATGGGCGATCTGTTCCTCTACCCCTACGGTTACCGGATCATCAGCGCAAACCACACTATCGTCACCATCTGGCACGCAATCTCTTTCAGCGTCTGTGTCGTATTCGCCCAGGCGGACACTGGTCAGGTGCCAGTTGACCGGTAGGTCCTTGCCCTTGATGCAATGAGCGGCGGTGAGGACGTAGCGTTTACTAATTAAGACGCCGCCGCATGCCGTCGCTCTGCCGTTGGCTGTAATACCATTGAAAAAATACATGTATGTAAACGTGTATGTAAACTTTTAAGAATATAATTGATTCTGATTTTTGATGCTTTCGCGGTGTGTATGATTTGAGTTTGGCTTCCTGATTACAACCGCGTGAAAGGTGGATGTTAAGAAACAGAAAATAATAATTATTATTTGTTCGTCAGGTTCGGGGGATGTTATGAAAATCGAGATTATCAATTTTTGGAACAGTTATATGAAGCGTTTTTAAACTTTATACCTTTAATATATTTTTAAGATAAAATCAATTGCACATTTATGTATTGAAAGTTAAGTAATAAATGTAAAGAATTCAATTTCTTTGTTTACGTAACATATACATGTGTGTGTAGAGGTATATATTAAGTAATTATGAGAAAAATGTGCGTTATTCTCCTTTTAACCGAACGAGGACCACGAACAAGGATATGAGGATATTTTAATCCCATTTTTTGTATGTGTGTGTGTGGGAAGGGTGCGTGCGTGCGTGCGCGCGCCGTGTGTGGTGTGTATCCTTTCCATTTTTTTTTCTTCCTTTCTCATTGTATCATTCTCCTTTGCGTTATTCATATTCGTCACTATCATTAGAACTTTGGTAGATTTTGTCTATAAAAAATTCATTCAGGTATTTTGCAAGAGCTTTAATAGATGGTTAATTCTGACAAAATCCAAAATACCAAAGAATCGCAATGTGCGAATAGCAACCCATCACTCGCAGGCCTACTTTGCAAGTGCATGAACAACAAATAAACTAGATTTATCTAGCCTAACTGGTTATACATGCAACACAAAAGAGAATGAGACAATGAAAAAAAAAGAGAAAAAATGAAAAAGACACAAACACGCACACGCATATGCACTGCACGCAGACGCACACGCACACGCACACAAATGGGATCAAAATTCCCTCACGTCCTTGTTCGTGGCCTTGGGTTCATCTTGTAAAAAAAAAATAATGCACATTTTTTATAATTACCTATATTACCTCTACACACACATGTATGTTACGTAAACAAAGAAATTAAATTCTTTATTTATTAATTTTTCAACATATAAATACAATTGATTTTATTTTAAAGATATATCAAAGGTATAAAGCTTAAAAATGTTTTATATGACTGTTCCAAAAATTGATAATAAATCTCGATTTTCATAACTTTCCCCGGACCTGCTAAACAAATAGGGTAACTCCGGTATACATATACGCCGCACCTAAGGACAACTCAATTTATCGAGTACTATTTACTATGTTTAAGGCAAATGAATTATATCAATAAAAACTTTATATTGTCTATTACTATAAAAAAATTAGAAATATGAAATATTTATTCCTTATATTTAACAAAAGAAACTTTTAGAAACCCTTGCATTTTTGCCATAAAGGTGGAATATATGATATTCATAGGTGGAATATACGCCTTATAAAATATTACAAATAATATTTATAAATAAGGGAATAAAATGTCATAATAAATTATAAAATGTGTGTAAAAAGTTTATTAAGATGTAAGAATGATAAACAAATTATAAAACTGAAAAATTTTTAAAAGAAAAAAGAAGAGCGATAGATGCATTAAAGATTATTGTTATACGATCCAAAAAAAAAAGAAGGAAAAAGAACACATAGGAGATTTTGAGTTTTACAAAATGTCTGTACTATGGCATAAATCCCGCATGCTAAAAATGCCGTATATTTTAAACAAGAGGGATATAGAAGATATCAAGCTAAACAAAAAATGCAAGAGCTATGCACTTCCCGCGAAAAACAGCTAAATGTATTTTAAATATGGTTCATATTAGTCATTTACATGAACGAAATTAAACTTAAATAAAAACCAAATATTAAATTTAAAAGTAATTAAATTCAAATATGTTCCTAATATGGATCGAAATTAAATTTAAATAAGATCTTGCTATTGGATTTAACTTGTCTAGGCACATATATGGATCATATTAATATTTAATAAGCATCTAACAAACCTGAGGTCAAATTTTATTTATATTTGGAACAAATAAGGTTTTAATTAACATACAAATTAAATTTTTATTTAATTGAAAGTGTTTCCGTTGATCCATTATATATTTATATTTAATCAAAAATTGTAATGCATAAGATTTCAATAAACCTGAATTATGTTAATCTTGCGTTGTAGTCTATTAAATTAAAGGTTTATTATTGAACCTATTTTTGTCATTATTGATCACAAATCTATTTATTATGTTTTACTGTCTACACGTACATATAGATGGGTAAAAACCACAGTGGTGTAAGTCAAATTTTTAAAAATATTTTCTCGTGTGCATAGATGCAATCTGTACAATATATAAATTCCATCTATGCAAAATATCAAAGCTTACCTAAAAAAAAGAATTTTCCTTAAAAGTTGAGCAAAATCGAACAAGTTTTAGAGGTCGCTACCAACGATTTTCAATATTTTCGATTAAAAAATCGGTTTTTTTTTCAAATGTTCAAAATTGCATAACTTTTCGAGTTTTAATGATAGAGGCATGTAATTTTCAAGGAATCTTCGTCAATTCATATAGTTTATGAATATCGAATTAGAAAATTTATTTTCGGAAACAATTTTTTTACGTTTTTTTTTGTTTATAATAAAAAAATAATTGTCTATAACAAATAGGCGCCAGCAATCTGGGACATGGTTTTGACTTTAAATTACATCTAGGTAATCCAAAAATACATTTCAATAATCAAATGCTTGACCATCAGAGAATTTGTTGCTAAAAATTTGTTTCAACAACAAATTTAAAAAACCACGTTACCCGTAATGAAAAAATAACGCATGTCATAATCTTTATTTAGGTGTCTGTATTGCATTCCAACTTTTGTTGTCAAATTTAAGTTGATAGAATAATAAATTATCCAAATGCTACATATTCAACAATTTTTGGTTACAACATCAACTTCTTTTCTGCCTAATACAATAACACCATTCAATTTTACGAATTGCAATTGTTTTTTTACTGCGACTCATATT